TTTCCAAAAGTTCATACTACTGTAAGGCAACGTTCAATAATTGAATTGATTATTTCGAAAAGATCATACTACAATAAGGCAACGTTTAATAATTGAATTGATTATTTCGAAAACATCATACTACAGTAAGGCAAATCAACTGATCCAATTGTTATTTATGCAACAAAGGCTTTATAAGGGTTCTAGTGTTCGGCTTAAGCCGTTTGGGCTTTTCATCGTCACTCTGTCGTTAAAATCAGTAAACGCTTATGGTACAGAGAATATTTTATATTTTGTACCTCATTTTACTTTTTTTGATTTATTTATTTACCAATGAACAATATTGACTCGGTTTTTCTTTTCGTATTTCCCTCCCATAAATCTCTCCATAAGAGAACATATAACATGATTAATCTGTTTTTGTATTTCTCTCGGAACCACGATCCTCTCCATCAAGGTAAGTGAAGAGTGTATATTAGCTGCGTATCGAAGGCAACAACAAGCAATAACATATCAGTAATAAATTAGTTTTTAATGTCATTAGAGCAAATAACCAACAAAATCTCTATCAGTAAAATTTGTGATATCAGCCTCGTAGTTCAAAACGTTTCGTAATTCCAGCTTCTTAAAAATAATTACATAAATAAGAAATACCTTTAAAGAGGATTACTTATACGGCATCTTAAGCTATAACCAGGGTTGCCAAATTGGGCGGAATTCCGCTTTTTGGGCTGGAAAACGACTTTCTCTCTCGGGGCAAAAATTGATTTCACGGAATACCCCCTAACGGGCAGAAATGCATCAATCATGTGCGGTTTTGGGCGAGTTTTCAGATTACGATGAAATTTTCAGAAAACAGCAAGGGTGTTGACAATGACTTTGTTTTTTAGTTTTTTACATATACATGGTTTTTCATTAATTGTTCGTTAATTCTTTCAAATTTACTTTCAGAAGTGAATAATGTTAGCTTTTAGACCTCGAGTGTAGGGTGTGTTCTAAAAGTTACACTCATTTGTCGTGCACAACATGAGAATATATCACATTGGGAGTTCTTGGAGTTAATTTTAGATCACACCATTTAAAATTAGTCTTCTTTTGAAAGTACAGTTTCACTGCCAGCATTTTTCGTTAAGCCATGGGGAACAAGCGTTCATATGTAAGGATTTTAGTGGTAATATTTTTATGCGCGGATATTTAAGAGAAGCAAGAAGAGTGAAAATGGGAAAGTGAAGAAATTATTTTATCCCTTAAAGTATTCCTCCTATCTGCTGTAATCTTAAGAATAGTCATTAATAATTTTTAAATATTACTCATTATTACGAAAACATAAGTAATTAAATAAACATTATTAATTATAATGTTCACAAACAAATAAAACTAATCAAGCATTTCATAGAGTCACTATCAAAAAACAAACAAATAAAATTAAAAACTTACACTAAATTGCAAAAATCATCAATGAAACTTAGCTTGGATATTTCAAGGCCGAAGAGAAAGTATTGAGTCGCGCATAATAGCTTTTATTCACTCGTGGAAATTACGAAATTTCAGCACAAATAATTCCTCCAGGAACGTATATGAAATTCCAGCTTCAGCCAAACCCGTCTTCGATTGTTACTTTCTCGTTCTTACGTACGTAGAAAGAGAAACTTTTGTACCCGTGCGGCGGAAACCGACGAATTTTCGGCAGAAAATAACTTTTTACCGGGCTCTGGTAAGGAAAAAGCGGATAAATCCAGTTGCAGCCAGAATCGATATTTTATGGGTCCTTCGCTATCGCCTAATACGTTCAGCCTGTTTATTTTTTTTACTTTCGCGCACTTTCTAACGTAAAGAGAAAATGGATTGTACCCGTGCGTAGGAAAATGGCGAATTTTCGGCAGAAACTCGTATTGCCAGGCTCTGGTAACGATATATCCGCACGGGTACAATAGTTTCTCTCTTAAGGTACGTAAGACCGAGAAAGTGACAATCGAAGACGGGCCTGGCTGAAGCTGGAATTACATATACGTTCCTGGGGGAATTAATAGTGTTGAAATATCATAATTTCCACGAGTGAATAAAAAAAAAATGTTCTAACACGTGGTGTAGCCAGAATCATATTTTATGGGTCCTTCATAAAAATCGATTTGCCGCAAAACGTGTCTGTCCGTCCATGACCAAAGCTATCGCCTAGTCCGTTCAGCCTATATATTTTTTACTTTCTCGCGCTTTCCAACGTAAAGAGAGAAAGTATTGTACCCGTGCGGGGGAAACCGACGAATATTCGGCAGAAACAAACTCGTATCGCCAGGCCCTGGTGGATAAATGTGGTTGGGGCGGGGGCAGGGCTACTGACCGACGCCGCAGATGGTGAGGCAGAGGTTGTAGACGAGCAGGCGGTCCACCCACGGCTTGTCGGAGATGTAGCCCAGCACGATTCGGCCGATGGTGTTGGCGAACCCGATGGCGGCCAGCAGCCAGCCCGCCTGGTCTTCGGACAGGTTCCTCTCCTTCGCCTGCACCTGCACAACGCAGTCACCCACGCACACGTCAACGCCGTCGCTTCGCTTGATTGATTGCTTTAGGGATTCCGGGCACGGCAACTACCAGGGTCATTATTCCCGTAAGTTAGTGCATGTTTTTGCTTTGGAGGAGGCGATCACATCGGTTGATTGATGGATTGGTTGTTTTAGGGATTCCAGGCATGGCAACTACCAGGGTCATTATTCCCGTAAGTTAGTGCATGTTTTTGCTTTGGAGGAGGCGGTGATCTCGCTGTATGGCGAGATCCGGCGCAGACCTATCGACGGCTAGCGGGGTTTTCATCAACCATATTTGTTTAAGGTAATTTTAAATGTTTTATAAATTAGACAGTTTTATATCATTATATCACGGTGAAGATGAAGATGAAGATGAAGAGGAAAAATGAAACGTTTAGACGAAAATGAAGAGGAAGAAGAAGGAATCGTAGAGAACGCTGACTCACCGCGACGTAGAGGTACGGCACGTTGTAGCCAATGCTCGTGAGGAAGTTGGACACGGTGAAGAGGATGAAGATGGGGTCCTTGAGCAGCGTGAAGTCCATCATCTCCCTGAGCGCGTCCGTGGTCTCGACGGGCAGGCAGCGGCCGCAGCACCCGGTGGAGCCGCCTCGACCTGCTGCGTCGCCGTCGGCGAGGTCGG